GATAAACCTAACTAGAAATAAAATTTTTTTTATATTAAATAAAATTTTCCAAAAAAAGAAAAAAGAAGAAAAGATATTTACAGTTCCAGGAATTATATGTAGTTCATCGGAATTCGATCCCATATTAATAGATTCTTGATCTTCGATATCACCATAAACAGTTAATGAAGCAAGATTACGTTCATTCTTAATTGAAACAATTATTTCAACACCTTCATTTCGTTGAACTTGTGTTCGACCATAAGTTAAAAAACTTGAATCAGTTATATTAATTTCAAGACCTGAAATGATGAATATTTATTTGTATTCTTTTTTTTCATATTCTCGATTAGTAACATACCAACTTCAGTATGAATTAAATCGATGATACTTGATACCACAAGTATATGCCATTCTTCATTGTTTGAGCATAATCTATTCAATGAACAGCTACATTGTTTATCATAATTAAATGATGTATTTAATTCAACAAAACTTTGTATACATCCGCATAGATTTTTAATTGAAGAATAAAATGCAATCTATTTAAAAATAATTAAATTAAAATATATTTTAAATATCTTTAAGGTTTCAAACCTTTGTTTTTCGATTATAACATTCATTACGACATAATTGCCAGTTATCAAATGTTTCAGGAATTATATACTGATGAATGCGATCGTTACCTTTCAAACATCCCAATGAAGTTATATCCAAAGAAACTAAAATAATAATTTATCAAAACAAACAAAGGAATTATTATTATTAAATAAACAAAATTCGAACCATTAGCAATTTCTTCATCTGTTAAAATTCGTTCATAATATATAATATCAGCAAGCATTGCTACTCCTGAATAATTTCCATACATAATAATTGATTTTGAATGTATTTGATCATATTTAAATATAAATATTTCTTTATAATTTTCTATTTCTGTTTCTTTATATAAATATCCATCAAAAAAAACTTTCATTTGATAATGTTTACTACTTTCTTCAATAGTTATTACAATTTCAATCCATTTATTTATTTCTAAATCAACTTCAATTTGCCAATAAAATGCAAATTGATCATCAATAAATTCTTTTAAACCAAATTCAAGATATGCTATATTATGTAATTGATATAAATAAATTAATATTCCATCACCATGTGTTTCATGTGCACCTGTACTAAATAATAAATATTTATGTTCACGATCACGTGTTTGAAATGGATTAAGACGTAATTTAAATCTTAATGACCAGCCATGTGTTGAACATATTGATAATTGTCGAAAACATATAAATTCATCATTCGATATACGATAATAATCATTCGAATAAAATAATGGCATTGAACCATTCCAAATAATTTTTCCATCTAATTTATGTTAATTATTACTTAGGACAGTCCAAAAGTAATGGCAATGACACTTTAATACCGTATAGTAAGCTTTGGAAAACTTTCTTTTCATAAGCAGGAATAGTACAAACAATGCTCTATTTTTCTGTGATATTTAATCGTTTTTCAACTAGTATCATAATAATAAAAATTCGATAACAGTTGTTTTTCTATGATATGTGACGGATATACTATTGCCTATTAGAAAAAGAATCGGTGAATGGATATTTTTTGAATAACTTTCGATAGAAACAAGATGGATGGCTGCGGTTTTCATCGTTCGACAGAGGAGATGAAGATCCATCGAATTGTATATTATAGGAATTTTTGAATTGATTTTTTTAAGGTTTTTCAATCGTTCTCTTTGAAAACAAACCTAACCCGTGAGATGTTTACAGTGAATTTTTTCGTGTCACATGTGTATTCAAATCATCAATGAAAGATCTATACAACTGCACAACGTTCACATGGTTGCTGTTTCCTTTTTGATGCAAAAACTAATTTTTCCACACTGAGAAAATTAATTAAACAAACGTCAGACAACATACTGGAAAATCTATAGTATACGATTCGATGCATCTTCATCTTCTATTTCGAACGATGAAAACCACAGCTTCGTCACATATCATAGAAAAACAGCTCTTGCCGAAATTTTATTGTTATAACATCAGTTGAAAAATGATTAAATACTACAGAAAAATAGAGCATCCTTCATACTATCCCTGTATATAAAAAGAAAGTTTCCTAAAGCTTACTATACAGTATTAAGGTATCACTGCCACTACTTTTGAACTGTCTGAAGTATATGTGTTTCATTCATATTAACTTACATTGAATTTGAGCAATAACAATGTTATTGATAATAAATATGAATAAAATTAAAAGAATTAAAATCTTCATAATCGTAGAAATTTTTCTTGTTAGTCTCGATCAATTCTTGTTTATCCTTGACTCACCTTGAACAACTACTGAGTATATAAGAAAAGGTACTTGATAATATTTCTTATTTTCTTTTGTTTAAAACTCTTGAGAATCGTTTTAAATCATTTTAATCATATTATGATCAATTATGTAATAGTAAAGTCTATAGAGAAATATCATTTTCCTATCAAATAGTGTCCTTGTCAATGATATTCTATTTAAAGAAACAAAAAAGAATATTTTACATGTATGTATACATCTGAAAAATAATATTCATGTAGTGGGAAATATACTTGAAAAAACAAAAAAATAATTAATCTACTTTTTAATTTATAATGAACAATAGGACAGCAAAAAAGTATAATCATAAGATTCATAATATTTTGTATCATAAAAGTAAAATTGACATATTGGGATTGAATTCCCATTTGCGTAGTGAAATAGAAGATATTTTACTATGTTACAGATGTTCATCCAAGTACTTGGTTATTGTATAAGATCATGTAAAATTATTCCTATGATGTTGGTGTTTGAGTATTTGTATTTGTAGTTATTATTCTGAATTCAATATTTTCATTAATGTGATGAATGATAATAAGAGTATGAAAGAAAATCGAATTTCATAGATTCGAACATGCATAAATAGACTTTCTCTTAGATATGATATGATAAATCAGTCAAATAAATAACTGAAAAATAATTAAGATTAATAAATTTATTCGCTGTATCACATATATCGTAATAAAGTTATTATCACTTTATTATTTTCATTGTCAACATAATCTTTTTTTTTTTATATGAAAGAAAATTGCAGCAGGTACCTTTAGTATAATCGTGCGCCATCTTTCTTTTTTCTTCTGTTTTCTTGTTAAAAAATGTTTCTCAGGAAACGAACATCCTTATGAGAAAAATCTTTACTAACAGCCCACTTTCACACGTAATTATAAAACATAAATGAAAATAAATATTTTTTTAAGGATTTAGTTTCATTTTTTATTTGAAAAAGGTAAATCGTTGTAAATATTCCAAGCACCTGTTTGGTCTCTATTTATTAGTGTGATTATTTTAGTTGTTTAAGTTTTTAGAATCGATAATAGATTAAATCATATAGAGTAAAATCTCTCATAGTGAACACTTTTTCAAGGTCTTTCAAAGTAGTTTTTGCTTGAATTGAATCTTTCAATATTGGATACTAAGAGAATGGTTTAACTTGATAGTTAGCGATTAATGACTACTAATATCATCAACATCGATTTTTTCATTCATATTCTCAACATGTACTATACTAATGAGCATTTGAAGAAACAAATGAATGAATAAGAAGCAGGGAGATACATCTCTTGAAGAAAATATCCAAATTCTATCTGAAATATTTGAAATGACGATTAAACTTCATGTTTTCTCGTTCATTCTATAGCCTCAATAGCACGTTCATCATCTTCTATTTCAAATTGTTGCAAATAAGTGACATTTATCCGAATTCTCTGGTGATAGAACACAGATCTGTCAAAGAATAACTTTAACAATAGCCGGCTTTTTTCTATTTTCGAAGATAAAAATATATATAGAAAGAGAAGTAACAATTTGCTTCAGCCGAGTATTTTATTTGATAAAACTTTTCAAACATCTAGAAAATTTATATGTTTTTTTCGGAAAACTTTACTCTTAGAAAACACTTAACCTTTCTATAATTAACACCTCCCTATAATGAATACCTTCAAAAAGTCCAGATAGTGCTGACTATAAAGAAGTTTTACTGTATTGATGTTAAACTTATTTTGACTATCAGATTTGATTAGTATGTTCTTTGTGAAAAAGTAGTCTCAATAGAGTTGATCTTTTTTCATTTCTTCTGCATTGAGAATAAGAGAAAATTAATGAAATGTTGAATAACTGAAATTAAATTTTGAAATGTCTATATATTAGAATAGTTATTCTTGGAAAAATAGTGAATATTAATATTCAACTTAAGTTTCCAATTTCTTTTCAAAATGTAATAAGATACTGCGAATCTGTCATTTCGTTATTTTCTGCAAATCACAATTCTTCTACCGTAAGAATTAAAATACACCATTGAATTTTTAAACATTCATTTGCAATGAAATGATTGTAGGAGAATGAAAGTAAATAGTCATGACTTTGTTTACTTTTAGTTTTGTACAGCAATGCACTTACCTATACTTCTTCAATATAAAATATTGTCACAAACAATGAAAGTGATTACCATAGTAATGCTTTGAGAAATATAATTCTTCAAAACAATATTCCTAATTTGTCTAGTGGCGATTTCAGGCACAAGAAGATATGTAAGACGAAGGACAGTCGTCTACTTCTGAAATTTTTTTCGATTGTTCACAGCAAAAACTGAATTCATACTACTTGAAATAAGCTTTGAAAACCTTGATTTTTTTTGCGTATATTTTTCTCTCTCTCCATATCGGCATCCTAGGTTCACTACAAAATCCATTTAATAGTAAATCCTGCTCATTCTTATAGAAGATCTTTTTTTTGCCTGTTAAACGTGAATATAAATAACCAATGAAAAACAACATAGCTGAAAATTATAGATAACAATGGATAAAAGCACACAATCATGGAACGAACTTATCTTGCGTCACAGTGTAAAACCTAAATTCAAATCACGCACTTGCAAGATCTACAATAATAAATCAAGGCATCCTACCAAACCAGATGAGTTATGTCCTTGTGATCGTATGATTCGTTGCCATAGTTTCACTGATAAGCCTCTAGAACCCGAAGAATCAAAGCGGAGAAATGCTGAATGGAAGCCTCCAAAAGAATTTCCCGATCTGACTGGTTCTACTACAGTACCTATCAATGTATTTGGAACATTGAAACCTACCGGTTGTAAATTTCTTCGAATAGATAATCGATTACCAATGGAGGATTTATTTCAATTTATTCTCGAAGATTGCGGAGGACAAAAACCAGCTCTCATTTTAAGTATTTATGGTGGAGCTAAATATTTTACTATGACAGAACGACTTGAAAAAGAATTCATAAGAGGTGTTATTGATGCTGCTACTACAGCTAGTAAATAATTATGTTTTAAATATTATTATGCTAATAGATCTATTTAGATGCATGGATTCTTACTGCCGGCATCAATAATGGTGTATCAAAATTGGTCGGTGAAGGTATTTCACATTATCGTCTCTTACGAGAATATTGGATTAAAGTGAAATGTATTGGAATGACTATGTGGGGTACAATAAATGACAATACACGTTGTGAACTTAAACGTGCATCAAGTGTAAAATAATGAAAATATTTATAAGAAACGTAAAAAAAAAAAAAGGATGTTTTTTTTTATTTCATAGGAACCTCTACCAACATTATGTGAACGACAGATTCCAGAAAATACTCAAGAAGATAAAGCAACAATCGAACCAAATCATACACATTGTATTTTATTCGATAGTGGTAGATTGAATGAATATCTCAGTGATTCACAGCGTGATGTATTTGTTACTGAAGCATGTAAAGATAAAGATAATAATCATACATGTATGTACCTTAAAAATTTTCCTATAGCAGTCACGATCGCGATTTCGACCTTGCTTAAGGGTCT